TGTCCTTCTAGGTGATAGTATTGTATAAGATCGCAGTCAGATACAGTTACTGGGGTCAAAGGGATCAAAAGGTATGGGGAGAAAGTGGGAACAAGGGACTGAGTTGAATGATCATCCATGATTATATTGAATGGTGGAGCAGTCTGGAAGGGCTGAATGGCCTACTCTTGCTCCTATTTTCTATGTTTCAATGTTTCTATCAACAATATATAGCAACAAAGCAATTCACAAATGGTTATATGGAATGGTGCATCAAAGACAGAATTAGCTGTTATGAAGTTGAAGGAAACATGACTATTTTATTGCCTCCTTCATGTGTTTTGGATATCTTGCCAAGGTTTGCGGGGTTTCTGAAAAAATGAAAATAATCTTTTATTATTGATTAATTATAATCCCTGCGTGATTTATCCACAGATCAATATATTATGGCAGAGTTAAGTAACTGTTCCCATATTACTGGCAAAATTATCTCTCCGCTCTTTTTCAAATTAACGGGCAACTATGTTTATTGTTGAAGAACAATCTCCAGATACAAGGCGGTAATAGATATGGAGTAATGAATGTAGTCTCCCTCCCAGATCGAGTTCTAGTTGTCCACAGTTCCAATACAATTGTAGCTCATGTTGCAAAGTTTCCAACATTGAAAGACCTGCCAGTCTTCCTTTGACCTGTGCTAAATGACCAGATTAGGAGCGAAAAGCTTCTCTGAATATTGTGGCATTTCACCATAGGAAAAAGAAGCATTCATCTTCTTCCTATGAGTGAAAGAGCAAAATGCTACAGATGCTCGAAATCAAGAAGGATGACAGAAAGTGCGAGAGATACAAAATAGGTCAGTCAGCATTGCTGAGAGGAACCAATGAGGAGAAACCATTGAGAGAGAAATGGCTAGGAGTTGTTGATGGGCTGAGATGAAACAAGTTGGGAGAAGGGTCAGGTGGTGTAGAAATACCAGTATGAATCAGTTGGGCCGAAAGGCCTGTCTCTGTCTTCTCAATCCTAAACAATGCTGCATAAGGAAATTTCATAATCTGAATGTGGAAATCAGTATAGTGTGGGATGGCAGGACTGATCTATGAAGAGAGACTGCATCAGTCAGGATTATAGTCACTGGAGTTTAGAAGACTGAGGAGATCTCATACAAAACCTGTAAAATTCTAACAGGACTAGACAGGGGTAAACCCAGGAAGGATGTTCTGAGTAATTGGGGAGTCTAGAACCGGGGGTCACAGTCTGAGGATACGGGGTGGGCCATGCAGAACTGAGATGAGGAGAAATGTCTTCAGCCAGAGAGCGGGGGAGCCTGTGGAATTCTCTGCCACAGAAAGCAAAACATTGATTGTTTTCAAGAAGGAGTTAGATATAGTTCTTAGGGCCAAAGGGTTCAAATTACGGGGGGGTGGGGGAAGTGGAGGCAGGGGACTGAGTTGGATGATCAGCCATGATCCTATTGAATGGTGGAGCAGGCTCAAAGGGCTGAATGGCCTGCTTTTGCTCCTATTTTCTATGTTTCTGTGTATTAGCAAAGTAAATCTGTTCATTCTCTCATCAGATGTTGTTTGATCGACTGGGTATTTATAGCGTTTCCTACCTTCAGCTTTTACATTCTTATAATGCCAACTGAATAATTTGCAATGTTTTGCTGATATGGTACTAACCTCACTCAAAACTCTGCTCCATATATCTGAATTCACTGTGAGTTTCATTCACCCATTCTCTTTGTTGAACTACATTGGACCCCCAGTCTGGTAAGACTCCAGTTCTGAAATCCGATTTCCCTGTTCTCTGTAACCCCCAGAGAGTTCTGCATCTTTTAGTTCCTTACACATTCACAATTTCCATTGTTTCACCATTGATGGTTGAATCTACAACTGCTGAGGCCCTAAGCTCTGGAATTTCTCTTGTAATCCTCTCTGCCTCTCTCTCCCCTCCTAAAAAAGCTTCCTCTTTCACTAATCTTTGTAGTTACCTGACCCGAGAATCTCTTGATGTGACTCAATGTCAAATTTTATTTCTTAATACTTGATAACATCTTGGGATGTTTCCCAGGTTAAAAAAGGCTACTCATTTTTGTATTATTTATTCACTCATGGGACATGGGCATCATTGGCTGGACCAGCATTTATTGCCTGTCCTTAGCTGCCCTTCAGAATGTGGTGGTGAGCTGCCTTCTCAAACCATTGTTGGCTGGGCCTGTATTTATTGCCTGTCCCTGTTGCCCCTTGAGAAGGTGATGGTGAGCTGCTATCTTTAACTGCTGCAGTCCATGTGCTGTAGACAGACACACAATGCCATTTGCATAAAGTGTATATTTCTGTAAATTAGTTGTTTGCATGTAAAAATATCAAGGCATTTGAAGAATGTGCTTTAGTACTTGATCAGAACTGCTCGTTAGCATGTTTAAGAAACTTGGTTATCTACAAGAATTCAAAAATAAGGTAACAGTTGGCCATTTGGCCACTCAAGCCTCAATAAGATTGTGGCTGATTTGCAACCTCAGCATTACCTTCCCACTATCGTTGTGTCTCTTGATTTGTGAGCGTCTAAGAACTATTTAAGTATGAAGGGTTTAGAGGGATAATGGTCAAATGGGACTAAATCTTGTCAGCATGGATGAGTTGGACCGAAGACTCCGTTTCCAGTCTTGCGAAGCTGGGTAGAATAGAATTTCATAGGATCCCTACAGTGTGGAAACAGGCCCTTCAGCCCAACAAGTCCATGCCGACCCTTGGAGCATCCCATCCAGACCCATCCCCCTATAACCCAGAATACTTGTGGATTGGAAGGCAGGACATTAGAATTTGGTGTTTTTACAAATATTGATGTTTGTAAAATGATAGGGGTGAAGAGTGCGTGGTGCCTTTAAAATATGATGACAGAACCTGACCTGAAACGTTAACTCTGATTTTTTTCTCCACAGATGCTGCAAGACCTGCTGAGCTTTTCCAGCAACTACAGTCTGATTAGTGTCTCGAATAGTTTTAGCAAAGCCTCTCTATTTTTATACTCCATTCCCTTTGGTGAGGCACTAGGCTGTTAGTCAGTCAGAGGCAGAGATCTGTAATGTTGTATTCTGTGAATAAACCTGGTATCAAGTAACAAGTACCTGTCTTGTTTGATAAATCAAACTGTCTCGGATTTGTTTAACCAGATTCCGTGTTCGATGAAGCATGATGAGATGGTTATCAAACAGACTTCAAAGCAACCAGTGACTGAAAACATAGCCTGTGTAAATATACATAAAATACTCCATTGCCTTGTACTTTTATTCACAAACAGGAGGACACAGCAAGGCTAAAAACATTTGAACAAATTAATCCACTTGCTGGATAAACCACAGGAAACTCAACTCCAACGCTGCGTCTCTCACCCACATCTTTTTCAGGATTTATTTTTAAATGTTGCTTTTTTTTAGTGAGAAGTTGGATTTATTTATGTTGGATTCTGTGAAGCAGGATTACCACATGTTGTAAAATACCTGGGTCCTTATTAAATGAACATTTTCTAAATGCACTTTTATTCCAAGGGTTTCAATTTCCTTACCTGGTCTGGCCTACATGTGACTCCAGACCCACAGCGATTTAATTGACTCCTAAACTGCCCTCTGGGCAAGTAGGGATGGGCAATAAATGCTGGCCTAGCCAGCGATGCCCAGATCCCGTGAATGAATTAAAAATATTATTGCACCTTTAATATTCATCTGACCTATTTGCTAAATATTGCTGAATGTTCAGTGACTCAAGCAGGAGCTTAGAAGAGCATCTAGTCTGAAGTATTATCTTAACTCTGGGGATATAAAGCCGTGTGAAGGTTACACAGTTCCACAAACACCCTCCCAAGGCCAATGACAATGCTGCTTTTGACAGGTTAAATTTCCATTTGAAAGGTAATTCATTGTATGAAATAATGAGGGGGCTTTCCCTGGGGCAATGTGACCTATTCCCAGGCAGAACTGGGGCCCAAAACATGTAGTAACTTCCTGTCTATTTGCCTAACTGTTACACCCAGGTGAGAGAGGACTCCCCTGGGGTCCATAGGGATTAGGATGGGCACTCAGATTGCTCTGACAGCCCCTGACATAACAAGGAGACCATCTCCCTTCCTCCTGGCCCTTCACTCATTTCCTCCTGCACTTTCCCTCACTCTCCCCACTCTCCCTCACTGTCCTTCTTCCTCACTGACTATCCTTGCCCCTCACTCATCTATTCTGCTTCTGTCCCTTCCCTGTTACTCTCTTCCACCTCCCTCACTTTCCTCCTCCCTACCTCTCCTCCTCATCCCTCACTCTCTTCCACCCTCCCTCAGTCTCTTCCCCCTCCATCACTTTCCTCCCTCTCCCTCACTTCGTCCTCTTCCCTCACTCCCATCCTCCTCCATCTCTTCACCTCCTCCCTCACTTTCTGCTCTTCCCTCACTGTCCTCCTCCTCATCCCTCACTCTCCTCCTCCTCCTCCCTCCCTCTCCTCCCTCTCCTCCTCCTCCCTCACTCTCCTCCCTTTCCCTCACTCTCCTCCTCCTCATCCCCACTCTCCTCCTCCTCCCTCTCCTCCTCTTCCCTCCCTCTCCTCCTCCTCCCTTTCCCTCACTCTCATCCTCCACATCCCTCACTCTCCTCCTCCTCCCTCACTCTCCACCTCATCCCTCACTCTCTTCTTCACCCCTCACTCTCTTCCCTCTCCCTCACTTTCCTCCTCCGCCTCCCTCACTCTCCTCCTCATCCCTCACTCTCCTCCTCATCCCTCACTCTCCTGCACCCCGAACGCTCCCTCACTGCCCAAGCTCCCTCACACACAGACACACTCCTCTCCTCCCGCCCCTCCTCGCTGACCCCTCACCCTCCCTCAGCGCCACTGCTGGCTCCCTCACTCACTTCCCTCAATCCCTCGTTTGCTCCCCTCAATCCCTCGCACCACCTCCCCCAATATCCAACCATTCCACCATCACCCCACTCCCCCATCCACCCCCACCCCCCCAACACTGTCCCCAGTGCAAACACTCACCATGTACCATGTTCCCAGAATGATTGTCCCTGTACGGACATGACAACAAAAACAGCAGCGGCTGGAATACCAGCTTCCAAAACAAGACTCCGTCCTCATGACTCCTGCCAAGCCACACCAGCAGAGGGAAAAAGAAATGATGAAACAATACTGGAAAAATCCAACAAAAACGGGACTTCTGTCAGCCCCGGGCTGGAAACGCTGAGGCGTCTGTTTCTCTCTTGCAGTAAAACTAACAGAAGCTGCACTGCGATCCTGTCACTGATCCTGCTCACAGACTCTCTCAATACATCCTGGAACAGATGGACAGGATTTAACCCTCTCTCTCCCCTCACACACACACACACACACTCACACACACAGACACAGGCACACACACACATACACACACACAAACACACACATACACTGTCACACACACACATACACACATACACACATACACACACACACTGTCACACATACACACACACACACACGCACACACATACTCACACATGCATGTGTGCACACGCACACACATACTCACACACACACACATGCACTCTCACACACACACACACACAGTCACACACACTGTCACACACACATACACAGTCACACACACACACTGTCACACACACACACGCATGCACTCACACATGCACGTGCATACACACACTCACACACGTGCGCACACACATGCGCACACACACACTCACACACACGCACACACAAACACACAAACACACACACAGAAACACACACACACACAAACACACATACACAGACACACACACAAACACACACACACAAACACACAAACACACATACACAGACACACACACACACAAACACACATACACAGACACACACACACACATACGCACACACACACACAAACACACACACACACACACACACACAAACACACACACACACAAATACACACACACACTCCTGCAATCTAAGCTGCAAAGTCAGGCCAGGAAATCCAGCAATTATACAAAACTCTCCCTCTGTGAATATTATACTCAGTTTACTTCCATTCCCCCAACCTACTTTCTTTCCAAAGGCCATAGTATTTGTTTTCCCTCAATATTTTGTCATGGGTCTCACTGGCAAATCCAGCATTTGTTGCCCATCCCCTGAATTGCCCCTTGTACTGAGTGGCTTGCTAGGGCCATTTCTGAGGGGAACTAAGAGTCATTGCTGTGGGTCTGGAGTCAGATGTAGGCCAGGCCAGGTAACGATGGCAGATTTCCTTCCCTAAAGGACATCAATGGATTTTCTTTCACAAAAATCACTGATGGTTCCACGGTGAACATACTGAAACTAAATTGATACCTCAGGTACGAACACAGAGAATGCTGGAGAAACTCAGCAGTATGTGTGGAGAGAGAAACAGAGTTAACGTTTTGAATCTGGTGTGAACCTCCTTCAGAACCGACCTTCTGAAGAAGAACAGAAGTCTTGAAGGAGAGTCATACCGGACTCAAAATGTGAAGTCTGTGTCTGTCTCTCCACCGATACTGCCAGAGCTGCTGGGTTTCTCCAGCATTATCTGTGTTTTGTTTCAGATTTCCAGCATCTGCAGGATTTTGCCTTTATTTGATATTTCAGATATGTCTTATACAAATTCAATTTAAATTCCACCATCCGCCATTTTGGGATCTGAACTTGTGACTATCTATTTACATTGCCTTGGTACTATCATCACTGTGTTGTAAACAAACTCTTGATCAAATCTCACGAATTAAAATGTTATCCAAACCCAATCCTTTTTCATTTCCACGTTTGACCCCAATGGGTGGAACATTCCCCTTTGCGGATAAAGTGTTTCGTCAAGGCAGGGGGGTCCATTGTGCCCACAGCCCTATGGCTCACAGTGACTTTTCCCACACCATCTCTCACTCGTCGCCTTGCCAACTAGGCACCTCCTTGGAGAATTGCGTGGCTGGAAAGGTGGGCACTGCATGTGCCTTCCAGTTCTCATGACCCTGGTGCCATATTTAAAGACCAACTGTGTGCCACTTCACCATAAGATCATCTGATGTAGGAGCAGAAGTAGGCCATTCAGCCCATTGAGTCTGTTCCATCAATCAATGATTGAGATTCTTCTATGATTCAATTCTTTCTTGCTTTTGCCCCATTGATTCTCTTACTGATTTAAACATCTATCTCAGCCTTAAATCTATTTAATGACATGGTCTTGACAGCCCAAAGAATTCCACAGATTCACTACCCACTGAGATAAAAAAAATTTCCTCCTCACCTCTGTCTTGAACCACCCTTTATTCTGAAATGATGCCCTCTAGTCCTGGACTTTCCCACAAGAGGAAACAATCTCTCCATATCTATCCTGACAGGTCTGAAGAAGCATCACTGGACCTGAAACATTAACTCCGCTTTCTCTCCACAGGTGATGCCAGACATGCTGAGTTTCTCCAGCAATTTCTGTTTCTGTTTCTGTTTCTGATTTCCAGCATCTGCAGTTCTTTGGTTTCATTTTCCACTCATGTTTGCGTGTTTCAATTAGCTTGCCTCTTATTGTTCTAAATTCCATCGAGTACAGACCCAACCTGTTCAACCTCTCCTCATAAGTCCCTTCATTACGTGAGATCAACCTTCTCTAGACCAGTTCTAATGCCACTATATCTTTCTTTAGATGAGGGGGCCAAATTTCTTCACTGTGGTCTGATGAGTGCCTTGTATAGTTTTAGCAAGACTTCCCTACTTTTATACTCCATCCCCTTTGAAATAACGTTCCTTTCGTCTTCCTTATTACCTGTTGAACATTAATTCTTGTTTTTGGTGATTCTCAGGAGCTGCAAACCAGGAACTGGTATTGGAGGATTATTACCAACACCTAGCCCAGAAATGCTAGCTGCCCAGTTCACCATCTGGGGTTGTTGTTAGACAGGGTGGTGACGGGGGAGTGAGGCTGTCCTTTTCCCAGCCGACCACCAGACCTAGCCAGGCTGGACAGGTTATAGCCTGTGAGAAGCTTTCATCCCAGCAATGCAGGATGAAAGCCGGTGATCTTAGAAAAATTGGAGCAGGAATAGGCCATTCAGCCCCTGTTATTCTGGATGATAGCTGATCTTCTATTTCAGTGCCATACTCATCCACTATTTCCACATGACTTGATGCCATTAGGAACAAGAAATTGAACAATCTCTCCCTCAAATTTATTAATGACTGATCTTCCCCAGCCCTCGAGGGTGGAAAATTCCTAACATTCACCACCCTCTGAGTGAAGACATTCCTCCTCATCTCAGTCCTAAGTGGCTTGCCCCTTATTCTGAGACTGTGACCCCTCGACCTAGACCTTACAGCTAGGAGAACCATCCTTCCTGTCTCTACTTTATCTGTTCTTTTTAAGAATTTTGCAAGTTTCTGTGAGATCACGTCTCATTCTTCTAAACTCAGAGAATACAGGCCCAGGTTTCTCAAAGAATTTTGCAAGTTTCTGTGAGATCACTTCTCATTCTTCTAAACTCAGAGAATACAGGCCCAGGCTTTTCAATATCTCTTCATCCAGGAATCAGACAAGTGAACCTCCACTGCACTCCCTCTCTGACAAGTCTATTAGTCCATAGGCAAGGCACCAGAATGTCACACAATAGTCCAGGTGCTGTCTTACCGGTGTCCTCTGAGAAAAGAAATTCCTCCTCATCTGTGTCTTAAATGTGGGACCCTTTATTCTAAGATTATGCCCCCATCCTAGGCTCTCCCAAAAGGGGAAACAATCTTTCTGCATCTAGCCTGTCAAGTCCCTTAAGAATCTTATATGCTTCAATCAGGTTGCCTGTCATTCTGCTAAACTCCAATGAGCCCAGGCCCAACGTATTGCTGTCTGCTCCCTGATCTGACCTGTAAGTGACTCCAGACATGCCTCAATGTCTTATCTGCCCTCTGAGATGGCCATAGCAAGCCAAGAAAGTCCAAGGGCAATTAGGGGTGGGGAATAAATAGAGAACTTGCCAGTGAGATCCACATGAGAAAATAATGAGCAATCTCTCTCTCCTGGTTCTTGCCCCACATAGCTGGTAAAATTTGTTACATACTGACACTGATTACATTTCTTTTTGAAAGTTGGACATGTCCCCTGAAACTGCTGAAAGGTACTCACTGCACGTGTGCAAAGTTCTGCGCATTTCTAAGTTTGCTGATAACACAAAGCTAGACGGGATTGTATGTTGTGAAGAGGAGCAAGGAAGCAGATACCATATAACATGGCCAACTGTGAGGTTACACACTTCAATGAGAAAAACAGCAAGGATTGTTTAAATGATAATATATCGGGAAGTGTGGATGAACAAAAGGGCCTGGTTGTCTTGTACGTCAGTTATTGAAAGTAGACAGACAAACAGATAGGCACAGCAAGCAGTTAGGAAGGCAGATAGTCTATCAGCCTTCACTGAAAGAGGATTTGAGATCAGAAGTAGGGATGCCTTACTGCAGTTATATAGAGCCTTGGTAAGGCCACAGTTGGAGTATTGCGTGCAGCTCTGGTCACCCTACATTAGAAAGGATACACTTGTCACTGAGGGAGTGCAGCAGAGGTTCACTAGGCTGTTACTCGAGATGTCAGGACTGTCCCATGAGGAGAGGTTGGTTCAACAGGGCCTGTATTCAATAGACTTTAAAAGGATAAGAGAGGGATCTAAAATTCTAAGAGGACTGGACAGACTAAATGCAGTGAGGATGTTTCTCTTGGTTGGGGAGACTAGAACAGTCTCGGAATACTGGGGTAGACCATTTAGAATTGAGACAAAGAAAAATGTCTTCACTCAAATGGCCAGATGGGATCTATCCCAGGTTACTGCGAGAGGCAAGGGAAGAAATAGCTGGGACATTAGTAGATATCTTCACATCCTCTTGGACCACAGGCGAGGGTCCAGAGGACTGGAGATTAGTCAATATTGTTCCCTGGTTTAAGAAAGGAAGCAGGGATAATCCAGGAAATTATAGGCCGGTGAGTCTGACATCTGTGGTGGGGAAGCTCTTGGAGAAGATACTGAGGGACAGGATATATGTACATTTGGAAGAAAATGGACTACATAGCAACAGGCAGTATGGTTTCGTAAAGGGAAGGTCATGTCTCACCAACCTGATCAAATTTTTTGAAGAGGTGACAAAGATAATTGATGAGGGAAGAGATGTGGATGTAGTTTATATGAACTTTAGTAAGGCATTTGATAAAGTCCCACATGGTAGATTTTGGTACAAAAACTAAAATCAGATGAGATTCGGGGTGGGCTGGCTAGATGGATACAAAACTGGCTTGGTCATAGAAGACAGAGCGTGGGTGGAAGGGGGTTTTTCAGAATGGAGACTGGTAACTAGTGGTGTTCCACAGGGATCAGTCTTAGGTCCTCTGTTGTTTGTAGTATATATAAATGATCTGGAGGAAAATGTGGGTGGTCTGATTAGTAAGTTTGCAGATGACACGAAGATTGGTGGAGTTGCTGGTAATGTTAACAATTGTGAAAATATACAGCAGGATATAGATAGATTGGCGACTTGGGCATAGAAATGGCAGATGGAGTTTAATCCAGACAAATGTGAGGTGATGCAGTTTGGAGGATCAAATTTAGGTGTGAATTATACTGTAAATGGCAGAACCCTTAGAAACATTAACATACAGACGGATCTGGGTGTGTAGGTCCACAGTTCCCTAAAAGTGGCAACACAGATGGCCAAGGTGATTGAGAAGGCATACAGCATGCTTGCCTTGATTGGGCAGGATATAGATTACAAGAGTTGGCAAACCATGTTGCCGCTATATAAAACCCTTGTTAGGCCACATTTGGATTATTGTGTGCAGTTTTGGTCGCCACATTACCAGAAGGACGTGGAACCTTTGGAAAGTGTGCAGAGAATGTTCATCACGATGTTGCCTGGTCTCAAGGCCATTGGCTATGAGGAAAGGTTAGAAAGACTAGGATTGTTTTCACTGGAAAGACGCAGCTAAGAGGAGACCTGATAGAGGTCTATAAAACTTTGAGAGGCATAGATAGTGTGGATAGTCAGACGCCTTTTCCCAGGGTTGAAGTTTCAATTACAAGGGGCACAGGTTCAAGGTGAGAAGGGGAAAGTTTAAGGGAGATGTGCGAGGAAAGTTTTTCACACAGAGAGTGGTAGGAGCCTGGAATGGGCTGCCAAAGGAGGTGGTGGAAGCAGGCACATTGACAACATTTAAGAGGCATCTAGATGGTCACATGAATAGGGAGGGAATAGAGGGATACGGACCAAATAAGGGCAGCAGATTTGTTTTTCAGTTCAGTCAGCACATGATGATCGGCACAGGCTTGGAGGGCCGAAGGGCCTGTTCCTGTGCTGTACTTTTCTTTTGTTCTCAAAGGTTAGTGAATTTGTGGAATTCTCTACCACAGGAGGCCACATCTCTGAATAAATTCAGGAAAGCGGCAGATACACTTTTAGATTTTTAAGGCATCAAGGGAAGAAATTGGGAATGGGAGATAGTAGGAACTGCAGATGCTGGAGAATCCGAGACAACAAGGTGCAGGGCTGGATGAACACAGCAGGC